TTTACAGACTTAGATTTATGGCTCTTTCCTTGCTCTTATATATTTCAGGGCCAACTTTCATGTTCCATTTTCAACATCCCAGATAGAATATCGAGATATGTCTGGCACTGGATATGAGAGGTTATGAGGAAAGAATTTCTACAAAAGCAAGATGAAAATCTGCCTTCCTCTCATTGTGCTGTGGAGAGGAGGAAGAGCTGGGGGAGCATTTCCAAGGGAAAAGAGATTTTGCTCCCTTGCATACCAGACCTCCCAAGAATGGCACCGATTCACCCTGTACCCACACTCTTGCTCATGGCCCGATCTGGACTTAGAAAAATAACAGACAGAAGTTGCGACAAAGCAGCTTCTACTTGCCTGTTTGTTGGGTTTGGCTTTTTTGTTTGTTTGTTTCTTTTTTTTCCCTTTTTGACTGGTTTATGGATCAGCATTAGGTTAAAAAAAGGCTATCCAGTAAATATAGCACAAATACAATAGGTGACTGGCTTCACAAATCAACCCTGCCAAAGGTCATCTCAATTAGCAACAAAAGGTCATCTCAATTAGCAACACTATTGCCAATCCCTTATCTCAGTCATGGGGAAAAGAGGAGGAAGGCTTGAACCACCCTGTCTTCATGCACCAAGACCAAACTAAATATGGCTCTAGAAAGAGCCTTGCCTAACCTGCCCCAGCCCTTTGGTTTTCTTGTGTGTGTGAGGATGATGAAGTACAAAGGAAGTGTCTAAAAGAGTAAAGCACACAGTATAAGTTATTAAAGCAGAAAAGTCTCACAATCCCACATTAAGGCCAAGGAAATCAAAACATACTCAGGTTGTAATATGTGCTCATAAAAAAAGCTCTGGATTGAATTTCATAAGAAATATTGACCTCAAGCTCTGAATCCTCTCGCTTTGGTGGGGTTGGTCCTGCTATGCTAGAATTCCTTTGGAGGCTCTGATTCATGTAAATAAAGAACAATATATAGAAGTAACTTTATTTTAACAAATTATATTTAAAGCTGCTATAAAACAACTAAGAGTATTCTTATTGAAAAACTGGAAACTTTTGAAACGAATACAGGAAAATACTACCTGTTGGATGGGGACATAGGGTAACAGGGAGACAGGCATTAAGTAGGGCGTGTGATATAATGAGCACTGGGTGTTATGTGCAACCAATGAATCACTGAACTCTACCTCTGAAACTAATAATACACTGTATGTTAATTAATTGAATTTAAATAAATTTTTTTAAAAAGAACACAGTGTTATCAAAGGCAGTCTTCAAAATTACAATAGGTATGGCTAGGGAAAGTTTTAATGATATAGACTCAGTTATAATAAAAATCATCTCCATACCACATTTATACACCAATAATACATTCTACATTTACCTCTTCACTAAATACAGTATTTGAGATTGTGGTCTTACTTACTGTAATTAAATATACTTTCCAAATAGGGCCCTAAAACTGACCAATTAAAAGTGGCTCTTTTCTCTTGTCTTCAGTTTCTGAATTTACCCAATGATTCTTAACTTTGAACTGTTAAAACAGGGTTTCTGGCTGAGTAAAGTAACAATCCAGAGGGGCACTCAAAACTCTGCATGTAAGTTTCAAGTCTGAAACTACAACTCAATGTGCTATAAAATGTTCTTTGTAAATGGGTCAAAATCATTGTTCCTCTCCTGCCTAGAGTAAATCTTCCTTTCTCTTGGAAAAATTGTGAACTAATCTACATTCTCAGAGGCAAGATACTTCAATGAGGTTGTTGGCGAAATAATCTGGTAGCCATAAATTCAAAATATTTGCTTCTAAAACATCTGAAGCTAAAGCAAATTGTGGGCAGCTAACTGGGAACCCAAGAGATCCCAGTAATGTGGAAGAAAGTTTTGGTCCAGCTCAGTGTCTAAAGATTTGAAGAGGACAAGAACTTAGTCAACTTCAAGCCCTTCCCCTTCTTCCTTTTAAATTCAATCTCTGTCTTTAATCCAACAGAAAATTAGGAAGAGTCTTCTAAACTGAGCTTCCCGCATAACAAAATTAACTTTTGTTTTGCCTATTACCATCAGCAAGTGTGTTTATTCAAGAGTGCACCAGCCTCTTTTCCTCCAAAGAGCTGTGCTGCCTTTACAGATACAGATCCTTCTTACTGACCTAAGACAAACACAAAGACATTCATTCTGTAAACCCTGAGATGTTCAATTGAAGAGCAAAGACCCTGGCCATTAAGGAATTAGTGGCTTAGTCTTGAAAAAAAAACAGAGTCTCATCTTTAGCTGTCCTCAGGTGCTACAACATAATTCATGACTTTCATTTAAAGAAGAAGAAGATGAGAAAGAAACCAAAAAAAAAAAAAAAGAGAGAGAGAGAGAGAGAGAGAGAAGACGAAAACAAAAAAATCTACTAAAGTAGAAACTAGGAAAAAGGGGAATTTTTCTCCTGGGAACTTTAGTAACACACCAAAACAAGTGAAAAATAAAATGCAAGGTATTCAGGCCATTCTTCAGCCCACAGTGGCAGTGTTAATAATCCCTCAAATGAAATCTTTATATCCTTTTGTTAATCACCCTTGGACAATCTTGGACAAAAAAAAAATAATAATTAAACTATCTTTTCTTTAAATTACCATATAAACCTAACTATTTAAATTCATCCTTTATGGAAACTGCATAATCTTTCTCTCATTAAAATTTCCGTTGTTGATATATGCAAACCAGGTCAGTTTCTATTGGATTTGCATACTTGTGTTTTATCCCTTAATTCAACTCCTTGTTGAAGGTTTAAAAAAGAGCAAGAGGTGGACCTCAGATACACATAAAACAAATGCTACTTATATGTCTAAGTGAACATTGACACCATTTACAGATTCTCCCCCCACCCCTTTTCCTTGGGGCTGAGAGTCTTGTCAATAATCATTACTTATTAAACAGGCTGCCATTCCCTTCTACAGAATGTAGAAAAGGAGCATGGAGAGGTAGAAATAATTACCTTGGGCTTTTCTTTAAAGACCTCTGGAATGGAACGCAAGGAGATCAATTGAGAAAGAACATGAAATACCCCCCCCATGTACAAGACTCCCCCACACATACGCACATACACAACATACAGTTAAGTACACCCACACTCCATTATTCATATCAATTGCAACAAAAGATAAAAAATCTGAGGTCATCAGGATAGACACACATATATTTTCAAACCACTGAATATGTCCAAACACACATACACTTGCACATCCTTTATCCTCCACAAAACTCAAGCTAGATTTGCTGAGAGAAGCCTCTGAACTCCTCCTGAGAAAATGTGCTCTCAAAAAAATGACAGCTTCAGCCAAAGGAGAGGGAAGCAGCAAGTTAACTGGGTTTGACTGCCATTCTGGTTTGTGGCAGATTCCCTCCTTCCCCTTTTCTCCCTGACTCCCAATTTCTTTTTATTTTTTTTCCCCCCCAAAGTCAAAGCATTAAGGCATTTCTCTCCTGGACCTTACCCATAAATGTACTAAATCTTTTTTTTTTTTTTTTTTAGTTTCCAGGGTTAAATAACAGGTTAGTAAGACCAAAGATCAGAGAAATGAAAAATCGCCAGATGACTGAAAGCAAGCCAGGTGTTCCTACTGAAGAGTTAATGATGAGCCCTCTTCCCTTCCTCTCCAGATGTTTTAGCTCAAAACAGAAATACAAGGTAAAGATAGTTTTGGAGAACAGGCTTGCACAGAACTTGAACTGGCAGGCTGGGGGTTTGTCCTAAATAACCTTCAGAGATTGCAAACTGTTTCCTGTATCCTGATCAATAGTCAAATTCAGAAGCTTCCCAACATTTCCCTAGAATAAGAGAAGGTGGGGGTAGGGGGAGGTAGGTCAAGTAGTCACACAAAACATTTGTAAAGATATACAGAAAATATACACCACCTAATACAAATACGTAGAAATCTATCACTCTTTGGGGTAAACTGGCCAGTACTGGCAGCAATCCCACCCAGGCTGAAGATGATACATTCATTTACAGAATGACCTGTTTCAAAGGGTTTGGACGTTCTCCCCCTTGAGTGTAGAGAACTCGGTCCAATCCCCCTTCTATTTTTCAGGCACAGAAGGAGGGGAGATGAGGTTTCACACCCCACCTTTGGGAAAGGAACAAAAGCAAATGCTTGACAGGGCTAAAAAAACTCCTCCTCCATCAGGACCCTAAAGGCGGTAGCTCAGCAGGGCTCCCTTCCTATCTCCCCCTACTTAACTCACTCTGGGCGGCCACAGAATCAATCTCTACACCCCGGAAGGGCCGGCCAGGTGGGGAGGGGGGGAGGAGGAGGGGGGATAATCGCTTTAGCCCTCCGCCAAGGATCGCCTAGTTTCCCTACCTCCCCCAATGGCTTCTAATTAACCCTTCCCGGTCCCTGTCCGGGTCAGGGCTGCTGTAAGTCTACAGCTTCATTCTATCAACATTTCCATCAAATCATTCCCTCCCCCCACACCCCACACACACCCACACGGACATAACTTCCCTTTGTGGTTTATCCTCGGTCAATTTGCATGTGCTTTTCTTTCACTCCTTCCCACCGACGGGGAAAGGGCTCAGTGTTTTGGGGAAGGCCCTTCCTATCCCCCCCAACCTCCACTCCCCACCCCCGACTTCCCACCCGCCTCCCCCACCTCTCAATAGGAGCCGGATCCCGGAGCTTTCCAGCAGATCTGCAGTGAGCAGAGATCGCGCTCGCGTTAACCCTTTGAAGGGAATTAGGGGATCGGTTCTCGTTTGGGACCCACTTAAGTAGGCCAGGTGGAGCTTGACAATCTCTCTCCGCTTCCTACAGCCCCCACCCCCACCCCGCACACAGACCCAGAACACACCCGCACCTTTTTCCTCCCTTGCGGCCACTTTATCTCATTCAATGCTCCAACCTGGAATGGGGGTGAGGGGTGGAGGATACTAGAAGACCGGCGGCGGAGGGGAAAAGACAACAGGAGGGTAAAACGGACACTCAGTAGTAAATCAGAGTTCAGACCCAGTGTATACTTACGAAATTTGGGGCTGGTGGTAGTTTCTGGTGTGGTGGTGGTAGAAGAGGAGGAAGACGAAGAGGAGGAAGAGGTGGTGGCAGCATCCTGAAAGGGAGACAGGGTCCAGGACGGAGTAGAATCGTGAAGGTAGGAGGAGGTAGCGTATGCCGCAGTGGGCCAGGAGGGCATTGCCTGGGTACTGGGGGTTCCTGGCACCGGGGGTCGGGAGCCCGGCGTGCTGCTACTGAAGAAGGGGGCTGTGGTGGACAGGACCGTCGGGGGGGCCGCAGTGTTCCGTGCGGTGGTGGAGCGCGGGCTGGCCCGGATAGGCACCCGGTGCCCGGGAAAGCGAGTGGGCGCGCGCGTGATGGTCGTCAGGCGGGTGCTAATCCGGTTGGGCGTCCTGGAAGAGGCGGCACCGCCGGCGGAGGGGGTGGCGGGGGACGCAGTAGAAGTAGTCGTGGTGGTGGTCTCCATGGCCTTGGGGAAGGAGCTGGGCTTGGAGAGGAAGAAAGGGTCCTGGCCCATCCCCTTGGAGTCCACCAGGTCGGTGGGCACGTATTCCTTGACGGAGCCCACCACGATCCATTTGAGGAGCATGAGACTGAGCCCCAGGCCGATGAAGCCAATGAACAGAGGCACCACGCACAGCCACGTCTGCTGCCGGTTCCACACGATGCAGTCGCTACAGCGTAACTCCCGGGGGGGCTCGGCCGCCCCTTCGCCGCCGCCGTCCGGGCCCCCGCCCGCCGCTGCCGCCGCCGCAGCCGCCGCGGTGCCCTCCTCGGCCGAGGCGGCGGCTGCCGAAGCGGCTCCAGGTGGCGAGGCAGCGGCCGCACCTTCACTCATCCTAGGAGCCGGTCTTCACCTTCGCCCCCCCGAGGGCCGCGCCAGAGGCATGGGGCCGCGCGGGCCGGGCGCGGGCTCCGGCGGCGGCGGCGGCGGGTTCGGGCGCAGGCAGCGGCCGCGGCGGCCGCATGCAAATCGGCTCCCTGCCCCCACGCCCCTCCCCCCGAGAGGCGGGCGGCGGGCGGGGAGGAGAGGAGCGGGGGAGGGGACGCGGGCCGGGGAGGGGGCGGCGAGGAGCGCGGAAGAGGGGCGAGACGGGCCCCCGGCGCCGCGGGCCGGTCAGGGAGCAGCTGGGCGCGTCTGCAGCCCGCCAAGCGGCCTCCTGCGCGCCGGGGTCCCGCTCCTGCTGCTGCTGCTGCTGCTGCTACTGCTGCTGCTGCCACCGCTGCTGCTGCTGTTGCTGCCGCTGCTGCCGCCGCCGCCGCTGCCCGCCGCCGCCGCTGCCCGCCGCCTGCATGCGCTCCAGCCGCGCCGGCATCCTCGGGGCGCCGCGCCCGGCCCGCTCCCCGGGGCGCCCGCCCGCGCCGCCGCTGGGCCTCGAGCCGCGTTCAGAGGCTGAGCCGGCTGGCCGTGGGATGTCGGGCGCCGGAGAGCCGCATTCCGACACAGGGGGCAGACCTGGCCGCCGCCGCCGTTCGCCCGGCCCGGCGCGCCGCCTTCTTCGGCCGCTGCTCCGCGAGCCCGGGCTATACGGTGCACCTGTTCTTCAGCCGGCCCGCAGCCAACCCTCGGCCAGCACTCTCTGAGAGAGACCAATCCGAGCGCAGCGCGGAGGGCGAGCGGCCGGGCTCGCCTCGCCTGCGGCTCCGCGCCGCCGCCGCCCAAGAGTCAAACTCCAGCGAGCTACGGCGTCGCCGCCGCGAGCCCGGGGCCGGGGGCGCACGGGGCGTCCGCGGCGGGTGCTCTCGGACCCGCCGCGGAGGGAACTGCACACGCCACAGAGGAATCGAAGTCGCTCCCCGGCGCCGCTGCTGCCGGGTCACGCTTGGGGAGGTGAAGCGGGAAACCGCGTCGGGGATTTCAGGCGACGCGGACCGCGGCCGGAGATGGCTCCAGCCGAGCTCTAGCAGCCGGGCGGGTGCGATGTGCGCAGAGTCGCCGTGGACGGGCTGGGCTTCAGGCAGAGTGGCGCCTCCCACCAGCACCTAATGGTGGTTTCTTAATGTGCACAGGAGAAATAAATGATCCAAGCAAACCCCCACTTGGAAGCGTGTGGCAAAAGCAGCTCCCGACGGATCGTGAGCCCGTCTCCCGAGCGGATTCGGCGGGGTCAGACGGACGCTGCGGGGCGAGGGAGCTGGGCCTGTGCTCGTGGGAGGTTGTCTGTGCACTCCCCAGCCTGATGGCGGGTGCTCGATGGAGAGCCACCTTTCCGACGAGTTCCTCAGAGAGATGCTGGTGAAGCAGACGACCTTCGTGCATTTACACCTGGCAGATATCTCCAAGCTGATTGAGAATAACTTACCTTAAAAAACAAAAAGTATTGCCTTTAAATGTAGATGAAAGCTCAGGTACACCTGTCACATGACAAATGATTGTGAGAGCTAAAACCGAGAAGGATTTGGGTTGGTGTCCAAAATTGCGTTGCTGGTTTCTTACCTTGGGTAGAGAGGCGAGGGTGCACCTGTATGTCAGGTGCAGTGTGGGACCTGCCTGGGAATCTGGGGGACTGGGCGAGAAAGAAAGAAGGGTTAGAGAGCCAGCATCAGCATGGTTTATGCTGATGATGCATGTCAACTCTCCCCAGATTTCCTGGTCTAAAGTGAAAACTGAAAAGGTGTGTTTATTTACAAACTCGGAGAATGAGAAGTTGAGGGCAACAGCCTCCCCGTACAACTCCCCAGCACTGTAAGACTGACACGGAGGCAGGAACCAGCGTTCTCCAGTACTGTTACAGTCTCCACAAAGATGAAGTTTTCAAGGTATCCATTTTATTCACAGGTGGAGAGCGAAACAGTACAGTACGCTGAGAAGACTGCAGAGAGCAGAGGATGCATTGAAACGGGAAGCCCCTGGGATTTGGTGCCTACCAGAGTATTTTGCACAGACACAGTTAATAAATTATTTTTGATGGCAGTAATGCGGCTGTCACCTTTTTCAGCTATAAAATTGAGACTTTCCCCATAGGAAAGCTTTTGATTTTTAGTTTGATAGAACATGTCCTAATCCAGTAGTGCTGAATTATGATTCCAAAAATTGCAATGGGAAAAAAAGAGAGAGAGAGAAAGCCACAAAGCTTGAATCCATATTCCTTCAGCTTTCCAATCCAAGGCACACTCCTGTTAAGTAAAAATTGACCCAGTCTCTACCTTCTGCGGGTGCTGGGCAGTTACTGGCCAGCCTTTCCTGTATAGCAAATAAAACTCAGCTTTTGCACAAAATGCTGTGAAAGTATAGCAGGTGTTGTCATTGGCCATATGAGACAGGAAATTACTTTTCCAGAAAACACAACTAGTTCATGGGCTCCCCCAGCATTTCTGTAATCCCTCCCTTCTTTGCCCACTGAAGTAAATCCAGGGTACTAAGAGGTATTGTAATGCTGCCGCTGGACAAATGCTCTCCTGAAACTGTACTCTCACTGAATTCACCCCATGTTGCCTCCATGCTCCCCAATGCCTCCCTCAGCTGCCTCTCCAAATTCCTTCCACTTCTCTTTTCCACTTAGCTTTAACAACTTATTCATTGTTCCCCGTTGAGCTCATTTTCTCCCAGATCCCAAGCCATTGCACTTGACTACCATTAGCTGCTCTCACAGTGAAGATCATCACTAGAGGAGGAGGAAAAAGCCCAATGCTGTGATAGCCTTGTATAGGGGAGCACATTGTACCAGCCCAGCCAAGAAAGTTTGGCAGATGCAACCATTGTTAACTTGCAGTTTTATGGTGAGGCTTCCTGGTAGCAGGTGGTTAAGCACTGGAACTGGAATCAGGGAGGGGGTGTGGGCACAGCTGAGTCAAGGACAAATGGTGGACACTCGCACTGCAAATGAGCAACCAGGAGTCTGTCCCATCGTGAGGAGTCTCATTTTGGTGACTCTCAGTTCCCTGAAGCAGAACACTGGAGAAATAGCTTCACGCTCAGGCTCCAAAGACAGGATTTCAAGTTAGACCTCTGGCCCCGAGAAGCAATGAAGTCACCCTGGGCTTCTATTTTCTCATCTGTGAAATGAAACTATAATATCTACATTCTACAATAATTATATGAAATTCTATAGCTAAATGATCTACTACTATGGCATCTTTAAAAAAAAAAAAGATTTTATTTATTCATTTGCCAGAAAGAAAGAGATTGAACACAAGCAGGGGGAGCAGCAGGTAGAGGTAGAAGCAGGGAGCCCCCCAGTGAGCAAGGAGACCGATGCAGGACCCGATCCAAACACCTGGGATCATGACCTGAGCTGAGGGCAGATGCTTAACCCACTGAGCCACCCAAGCATCCCCATCGCATCTTTTTAGCAACATTTTCAGATACCTTCCTGGAGAGAGAGGTATGAGTTCTTCTAATAAATAGGCATGACATACCTCAGCCTCTCCTGAGTTCCATCTCTGCCTGAACATAATCACCTTCTGGATGCCTCCTGTGTGATCCACTAACACATTAAACTCAAAATTTATGACCATTGATTAAAATTTGCCCACAAACCAGCATTTTTATTGAACTTCAGTTTTTCCTTTTCGTTGCCACCAAAATACAGGAGCTGTGAGTAGCAATGCCATCCCTGACTCCTAATCTTTCACACCCCTAGTTCAATTAGCTATCATCATTCACAATACAATGTCATCAACTTGGGCTCCCTCAATTGTCAAGTCTTTGGCAAAGGCCCATCCTCAGAACCACAAGGGTAGAAGTGAACTTAGTGGCCAAACACCCCCCACTGTGACATCCTCCAAAACATCCCACCCCAGCAGTCATCTGGATCCAGCTGTAGCTCTAGAGAAAGCACCACTTACTGGCCCAGCCTGTGGACAGTATACATGATTACAAATGTCTGTGTGTTGAGCTAAAAATCTGCCTTCCAATATTTTCACCCTTTCTTCTGAGCTCATCAACTAGATCAACCTTTCATGAACTAGGTGCCAGACATTGAACATACAACAGAAAACAAAACAGAATCTCCCTACATTCATGGAACTCATTTTAGTGGGAGAAACTGACAATAAGCAAACATACCAAATACATAATTATGTATTCTCTCAGAAAAACGAGAAGTGCTGTTTTGCACCACAAAGGATATGCCTTTTTGGTGTGATAACATAGGCTATCTCTTCTTCAATCTCAATATTTCCCATCTATTTGTCATCCTCATGGGCCATGAGGACCTTACCCTCCTGGGAATACTGTGTTCTCTTAGGTGTGCATTTCCTGGATATTTATGTTACCACAGAAGCCAGTCCAGCCTGCAGAATCATAATAGTCTTCATAACATCCACTAGAGCTGTGTTTATAGACAACAAGGTATCTCAAAACATTTCAGAGGAAACATTTTTAAAAGGTTTCATGAGGTTAACCTTCCCATGGATACATATTTTTTAGTCTGTCTTGGTTTAGTCCACTACTATTACTATTACGATCACATTTCATAGTAAACCATGGTGACCTTTTTAAAAAAGAAACTGATTGTTTTCTTTATAGGGCTCAAGGAGCAATCTTATTTATTTCTTGAAAATGCTTTATATCTTACATTTAAGGCCCACCCAAATGTACTAGAAAATTTTCCGGGTGGATCTGCCTGTTTACAATGCCTTGACTCCCAGGATTTGAGCATTATATCCCAATATCATAAATAAAACACACCCTAAAATTTATAAATTCTACAGAGCAAAAAACACAAAGTGTAAAGGTGAAGAATTCCAGTTGCAGCTCTCCTAGTCAAAAAAGATGATTGTAACAATGCTTGGAGTTAAGGTATTTAGAATCTCACCTAACTGCTCTCCCACAAATTAGGAAACACTGAATAACCAGGTGTGAAATTTGAAGTTTTGGATGAGACACTAAGACAA